AATATGTTATGTGTCATCGTCTAATAACTTTCATGGAGTGCAGTATATTTTCCAACTCCCAGCATGGTTATATGAAAGGTAGATCCACAACTACTGCGATTTTTCAGTTCACACAATCAATTATAAACAACTTTGAGAGTAAAATACTTTCCCTAGGAATATTCTTAGATCTTTCAAAAGCCTATGACTGTTTGAACCATGATTTACTATTTTATAAATTGGAGAAATACGGTGTAAGGGGAAATGCTAAGAACTGGATAAGATCATACCTTTCAAATAGACAGCAGTGTGTACAAATTATAAAAAACAATAAATGTTTCAAGTCAGGATTTCTGCACTGTAATATTGGTGTTCCTCAAGGTAGCATATTAGGACCAATTTTATTCATATTGTTCATTAATGATATTGAATCAATAGAAAACAATTGTTCAATAACGAAGTATGCTGATGATACAAACTTATTAGTGAGTGGGTCTGATTTTTCTAGTATTTTAAGAAATTCTAGTAATGCTTTATATGTTACAGAAAACTGGTTTAATGGTAATAAATTGATATTGTATACAGAGAAAACTAAAGCAATTCTGTTTAGAACGAAACTAACTCGGTTAGATGTTCCTGATGAGATATTTATAGCTGACACTTTTTCACCACTAGTGAAAAGCACCAAATTATTGGATGTGCATATAGATGAATTTCTCGATTGGTGTCCTCATATTACTGTATTATCTTCAAAACTAAGTGGAATTAGTTATGGTATACGTACTGTATCTAAATACATGAAGATAGGAACTCTTAAAATACTATACCACGCAAATTTCGAATCAGTAGCTAGATATGGCATAATATTTTGGGGAAACAATGCTGATATACAGAAGATTTTCATAATTCAAAAGCGTTGTATTCGTATAATGAATAAAATGGAATTCGATGATTCTTGCAGGAGCATATTTAAATCACTGAACATCATGACCATATATGCCGTGTATATTTATGACTGTCTCATGTTCATATTTAAGAATAGGGACAAATTTAATTTTCAATCTGAACGCAATTATAATACAAGAAATCAAAATGTTATATATCCTATCCACCGGTTGACAGCAACTGAAAAGAGTCCACATTACATGTGCATAAAGTTATTTAATAAGTTACCAAATCATATAAGAAATATCTCAAGTATTCGGAAATTTAAAAAACTTATCAAAAATACATTATTAGAAATAGAACCGTATAGTGTTAGTGAATATTTGAACTATCTTTACTAAGATGTTACGTATGTATGTTTATGTACCTATCTTAGTTAGATGTTTTTTTTTGTTCTGACGTCATTTCAATTCATGTATCAACATAATTTGAAATAAAGAAAATTTATTATTATTATTATTATTAAAAGTGAGCAACGAAGTAAAATTTCCAAATTTAATACGATCCTATGGAAGGCCATTTAATTCTGTACAAAAAAGATCCTCTTGTTGATACTCGATAGAACCCTCCATTTTGATGTTAATGCTAAGCTGAGTACTCCATTCAGGACATCAATTACTGGATAACCACAGTATGTAACATAACTATTATACATGGACAATCAAGCTCTATACGTTAAGTTAAAAATCCCGAATATCATAAAAGAACTAATCATAAATTACCACTTCATCAGAGGAGTTTTTGTGATACCCATTTGAGTATGAGTATTGCAGATGTTCGATTTGAAGTATCAGAAACACGTTGTATACATGATTGCAAATAGATAGCTATGATAGGTTTATACAGGGTGTTCCTTAAAGACATGCTAATGGGTGATTCTTCAACTCATTTCAAGGAAAAAACTTCCCACTAACGTATGTTCCAAAAGTCTTAACTTTTGAGATACAGGGTGATGAAGTTTTGAAAAAAAATCAGTTTATTAATAATAACTGGGATAATATTGTAGACATCTTTATGAAATATTATTCTTTGTTTGTCAATTTACAGTTGTTGATATATTTTGTATAATGATATGTTTACCTATAGGTATATAATTATGTACTTCCTTATACCAGAGCCTATTCTGTCTGGAAGTTATTTGTTCAATAAATAAAATAAATAAATAAAATAAATAAATAAATAAATTTGGAACATCTCTGCTATGCATCAAGGTGCATTTTTTTATGTATACAAATTTTCCTTTTATCTACCAGTGGCGCCGTTAGGGGGGTATGATTGATTATATTATACTTGAAAGTGAGCAAAGAATGAATATAATTCCAAATTCAATGAAGGACGCTCCGTTTCCGAGAGAAAACGATCAAACTTCAAATTTTGATTTAAATGCTAAGCTTGAGTACTCCATTCAGGACATCCATTACTGGATAACCACAGTATGTAACATTTTGAAATTTTTGCACCCTTTCAGTCACATAGCAGAATGAATTTTGCCATCAGGAAAAGCAATACAGGGTGGACAAAAAAGAATCTATGTATATGTGCAACTTTGATACCCTCTCAAAAGTTCAAAGGAATTTTACAACATTCGTTCATATGAAGTTTCATTCTTGAAATGGATCCAAGAATCGCCCCTTGAATATTAGCATTGCATTAAGGAACACCCTGATAAATACGGGCGTGTTAAAAAGATGTGTGTTGAATGAAAATAATATCAGTTTGACATAATATATTTTCTCGTACTTTCTACATCCACGGTACCTTTTCCATTAATATAGTCACAGTATAACTGTATAGAATTTGAGTGTAGTAACTGAGTTAGCTATCCATTATCTTGTAAACACTATGATCGCGTGTTCGAATCCTGCTCTAGCTACTATTCATCTAACGTTGGAAATGAATAGTTTTGTGATAATATATTCGTATTTATTCAATGTGTCCCTATCATACCCGGTATTCCTAAGTTCTTGACATCCCTAACCAAAGGTGTGGTATACCAGGTGTTCCATAAAAAATTCTATTTTTACACAAATGAGGATCACGCTGCAAATTTAGGATAGAATTACAACTTCGAAAAGTAAAAATATGGAGCTAGATATATATCTCTATCTTTCAGTTTTTTGGCCAAAGCAAATGTAATAACGAAATAGATTGACAAACGTAAGCGAAACTTGATGTCGCTGATCATTTAGAGGGAAAGAAGAACAATAAAAAATCTGTAAAGTGGTTCTAGTATGGGATAGAGTTGAGCCCATTAGGTCTATTTTTAGCCAGATTTGCATATTTTAGAAAATGAGATATTGGTTATCAAATTCATTTTTTGTGAAAAAAAGAGCTAATTTTCTGAAAGAATTTCGCGAAAAAAATTACTTTCTTCCTTTGCTGAAAAATCTAAATCAAAAACCCTTATCGAAAATTCTCAGTTGTAACAATCCAAAAACTATGCCTTCAATGTTCCTTCACAAAATCTGTTCAAAAAAAGATCTCTTCTCAAATATGCCAAAATATAAGTACGAGTCCAGGAAAAAATATTTCGATGTCATCACTGCAGTTCTGACCTTAATCTCATTTTCTGATCGTTTTATTATTATTATTATTATTATTTTCAATGAATGCTCAGGCATCGAGTTTGTCTCACCTGTACAGTGTGTCCCGTTTTCGATACTTTTGCGTGATAACTCAGTTATCTTTCTAGTTACAACCTCGCGATTTTCGCGGTCCTGGGTTACTTTTTTGTGAAACTCAGGATAGTCCAATCAGATTTTGCATAGCTGTTTTCGTTTATGAGATATAGGGCGATTTTAAAAATTTATTTTTCTTGAACCTCTTCTATATCTACGAAGTCTCAGCGAAAATGTCGAATCAAAATCTCATTCCATAGATAAATATTCGGACAATCCAGTGGCGCACTAAAATTTTTTTCTAGGTGTATGATTTGCAGATACGACTCAAACTTACAATTTTTCAGATAGAACACTGTGTATTTCATGAGCTGATTGAAGTCCTCATTTTCTCCTTTCGAAATGATGTATAATGTATAAATATAAAATTTTCAAAAACGCTCCAAAATCCCTAAAATACTGAATTTTAATAGCGGGCTATGGATTCTTCACATAGAAAAATTTCGAGTTGAAGGAATATTTCTTTCGTTTTTTCCATGAAGAAGACAAAAAGAATACCAAGACTAAGTAACTAACAAAACACAAAACTTAGTTACCTGATGGCAACATTGGCAACAAATAAATAGTAATAAAAAGTTCATAATGAATAAGCACCTGATTGAATATTTACTAAAACAATTAAATTTCGAAATTATTCAGTTACTTATTCATTGAATTGTTCAAATTGAGTCCGCCACTGGATTCTGCGTCAAATTCTCTATGAGATAATATTTCAATTTGTCATTTCCGCTTAGAAACTTCGTAGATATAGAGGGGGTTCAAAAAGTATAGATTTTCAAAATCGCCCTGTATTCCATAAATGGAAAAAGTTATGCAAAATCTGATGAGACCATCTTGAGTTTCACAAAAGTGGCACAGGGCCGCGAAAACCGCAAGGTTGTATCTCCAAAGATAATTGAGAGAGATATCACGCAAAAGCATCGAAACGGGACACACCGTACAAATTTGAATGAACGATAGAAATGGCACCTTCACAAAAATTGTGTGGATGCTGATTGGAATATGAAATGTTCCATACTATATTTCAAGCTATCTACCTCTGCTGCATTTCCACAAACTTGAAATAACAAGAATATGCATTTTCTAATTTTGGGATGTAATTATGACACTTAAAAACGGATGCAAGTTTTGAAACGTATTTCTTAACGTAAAGAGTTGTGTAAAGTAAAATTTTTCATAACTAGTGATGTTATGTGCGTTGTGTCATCCCAAATCCTGTTGTCAAATGCGATATTCTGTCGTGTGAAAAAAATTTTGAACCGGCAAGCGAAATTTCGTACCCACAAATATCTCAATTAACTCCATTGAAATTATCAATCTGACGAGCTTCGAAAAAGTTTTCCATTTGTGTAACATTACTAGTTATGCACATCTTCTCAATATTATTCTGTTTTACAGGTTTTCAAACGTACACTCGCCCTTCCTTCTTCATGGCTAGACTCGTCGGACTCCTCATTTCAATTTGCCTATCCCTGGTTGCTTCAAGTTTGATAGCCCTGACTCTCCCAGTCTGGCTGGGTCGCAGTGTAATGGCGCTCTGGCTTGTGGGAGCCCCTCCTCCTGCACCTCAAATCTCCGCTACGGATGCCCAAACTGAAGTCAAGGTCCACGAACTGTATACTGCAGCCTGTGGGCTCTATCTTTGTTGGCTGGCAGCCAGAGCTATCAGCTTAGTTCTAGGGTGGTTGCCTCAGGGTCGAGTGGCCATGATAGAACGACTGAAGCAGTGGTGCATGCTGGGTCTCAAAACAATCATAGCTAGTACTATCCTGCTGGGGGTTATCCCTTTGCTGTTTGGCCTGCTGCTCGAACTAGTAGTAATTATACCACTTCGAGTGCCAATTCATCAAACACCTATATTGTTCATCTGGCAAGACTGGGCGCTAGGTGTGTTGTACACTAAAATTGCATGCGCAATCACCATAATGGGTCCTGATTGGTTCCTGCGGGCTGCTATAGAAAGAGCTTACAGAGACGGCATTCGTGACATAAACTTGACATTCATTTTCAGAGAGTTAGCTGCGCCTGTTATAATCAGCTTTGGACTGGCACTCACTATTCCATATGTCATTGCATATTCAGTTGTGCCAGTTTTTGTTGAGAATTTACAACTGAAGTATTTCATAGCAAGGAGGTTGTATCCGTTTTTGTTGTTAGTTTTTGTTATTGGAGTTTTAATAAACTTACAGATCAGGCAGTTCAAAAAGCTGTATGAGCATATTAAGAATGACAAATATTTGGTTGGTCAAAGGTTGGTTAATTATGATCATAGGAAGAAGGCACAAGTTACTAGCTGAAATACTTTCAAATACAGGCTCTGAAACAATTGTTTAGGTTATATAATTCTCATTCGTATTTATTTTAGACACTGACTGAGTTTTTCAAATACGTACATATATTATTCGAGAAGAAATCAGAGAAACCTCTGATTTTCTTGAAACATATTTCAAAAAGAACTTCATCCTCAAAAGTTGGTCTTTCACTCTTTTGAGGATTTGTTTGGATGTTTTGTTTCCAAAAAGAGGAGGAAATTGAAGACTATTATTGGAAAGTGATGCATAAACAATCACTCACTTGTAATATTCCTGATTTTTTGATGGCACATCAAGTAATGTTAATGGAGAAATCAAATTGCCAGACTGTTTTCAATGATTGTACTGATACTGATCCTTCTTGCTCTAGTAAAATCATTTAAATCGAAAATTAGTATGTGAAATATTTTTCCGAATGGGTTATTTTAAATTGTTAGTCATAAATATTATTCAGTTTTCTAAAATTCTGCTATCATTTTGACTAGCTGTCAAATCACTAATAAATTAGTTTAGTCTTCATCAAATCACTTATGGAGGAAAGCGATGCTATCTATATAAGTTCCACTAGCAAATGAGAGGTTGTTCTGAATTGTACTTCTCCGATAAATATCTACCTGAAGTGGCTGGTCAATATGGTGCAGAATTCAGATTATTTGACAAAATGTAATGTTCTTGATTAAAATCAGTTGACATATTATACTGAATGTTCAACTGTTCAATCTAGTATACAAGCATTCATGTTGCTGAATACCCAAATATAAGTGTATAATATCTTCATATACATTCAAATTGTGTACTTCTGTAACTGCACTAAAACAAAAAAATGCCAGAACTTATTCAATGAAACCATATATGGGTAGGTGTATGGGATGCAATGTTATTATTTCTATGTTTCTTCAATGGAACCTCTTTTGATTTTTTCTCATAAGTTTTATGGTTGAAATTTGTTCTGTATATAAAATAATTTATTTTCATTGAATAAAATTTTTTCTTAACAATATGGAGGATATTACTAATACTATCTATACTCACATGCTGCATGGGAAGTAAGGTAGGAATTGGTGTTCTTAAATTTCTGGAGGTTATATTCCTCGGGGAACCCCTCCCTTGATAGGCGACTGTCCTATCAATTTTTATGTCTACATCATTTATATTTTTTTAAACTCATTATTACTCCAATTTTCACCTTTTAACTCGCATTGCAACCTTGAAGAAGAAAATAAAACATTTCGAAAGCTTGGCATAGCAATAAAGTAGTTTGCTTGTAGCCCGATTACTGAACTCCCCGATGTCTCCTATTATTCATAATATAATACAGTCGATAAATTATTCAATATACAGTCTGTCCAAGATAAGGTTGAACAGCATGGGGATCTCGGAAACGGTAGGAGATACGAAGTCGTTCAAATGGGGAAAAAGTTGTGCATTCGGAGGCTCATTTCAAGAGCCTTCGAAAATTTTCGAAAATATTTTTAGTTTTTGAGTTATATCGAAAAAAGTGAATTTTTGGAAAATCTATTTTTTTTTTTTCGTTATTATTAGAGATACAGAAAAACTGAAGATACTTTTCCATAGCAACTTTTGATGACGTTTAACGTGGTTTTGCCGATTTTTTTATGCGACGTTTCGTATCCGTAGAACCATCATCAACTTTTGTTTTTTAAATACGGTCCTGATAATTTTTTCACAGATTCTGAAAGGTTTTTTTATTCTGAATTCAACCATGTATTATACAAGGTGATTTGAATGTGTTTCGACCTATTTCCATCCATCATCAATGTTTTTTCGAAATTCCAAAGGAAAAATGCCATCAGTTCCACTTATTTTGAAGGAAAATCAGTCAACACACTAATACCTCATCAACTGGTTTCAATCAACAACCTATTTCATTTTGCGGAAACAAAAATTCCATCCATACAAATTCAAAATATGTCAAGCGCTAAAACCAGGCGATGACGAAATGCGCAGGACATTCTGTGAGTGGTATACCAGGAAATGTCAAAATTTTGCAAATTTCCCGCGAACAATCATCTGGACTGAAGAAAGCATGGTCACTAATCATGGTATCTTCGATAGAAAAAATACACATTATGAACATTTATGCATTACAGCGAGACACCAACACCGTTTAATATGTGAGTTGCAGTATTTGGTACACGAATTATTGGTCCTTTTATTCACCATGAAATAGAGACTTCCTTACGTTATAAAAATTTGCTTGAAAATCATCTTGAAGAAACTCTGGATGATTTACCGATTGCGGAAGTTCAGAACTGTTGGTTTCAACAAGATGGCGCTCCGGTACATAATTCCAGAGAAGTTCGTGCGTTTTCATACAGAAAAATGGATTGGTACTCATTCTGCAGTCCCTTGGCCGGCGCGGTCACCTGATTCGACACAACTGGATTTTTTAAAGGGGATTTATCAAAAACTTTGTACACGCAGATAGCTTTGATGAAGAAGATGAACTGAGGGACAGTGTCATCGAAGCATTCAATAGAATAACCCCAGAAATGCTTAGTATTGTCTTAGAAGCAACTGTGAGAAGGGGATATCTTTGTTCAGAAACTGATGGTTACTATTTTGAACATTTCTTATGAATGTTTCTGTAGTTATTGTCAAAGTCAAGTTGTTAAAGTAATTCGTGTAAGAATTCATCAACAATTTTAAGCGCTGCATTGAATGATGTAAGGAAATATTTTGTATTCACTTTTCAGTATCCAATAACTAATCCATCAATGTTTGACACTAAATGATCAGAAATAAATGGAACTGATGGCACTTTTCCTTTGGAAGTTCGAAAAAACATTGATGATGGATGGAAATAGGTCGAAACACATTCGAATCACTCTGTATAATACATGGTTGAATTCAGAATAAAAAATCCTTTCAGAATCTGTGAAAAAATTATCAGGACCGTATTTAAAAAACAAAAGTTGATGATGGTTCTACGGATACGAAACGTCGCATAAAAAAAACGGTAGAACCACGTTAAACGTCATCAAAAGTTGCTGTGGAAAAGTATCTTCAGTTTTTCTGTATCTCTAATAATAACGGTGAAAAAAAATTAAATAGATATTCCAAAAATTCACTTTTCTCGATATAACTAAAAAACTAAGAATAATTTTAAAAATTTTCGAAGGCTCTTGATATGAGCCTCCGAATGCGCAACTTTTTCCCCATTTAACCGACTTCGTATCTCCTACCGTTTTCGAAATCCCCATGCTGTTCAACCTTATCTTGGACAGACATGAAGAAATACATTGAGAATTCGCATTCTCTATGTGATGAAAATACCAATTCTTTCTAGGTCTATTAAAGAAAAAAGTGAAATAGTCATTGGGGCAATATTTCATTGAAGAATTGATTGCAAACAAAACAATTGAAATGTATGTCAGTTCTGATGAGACTTTTGGTTATAAAGTGTCATTCCTAGAGTCGGTATATCGGAAAATCTTGATAATTTAATCAGAAATTCGACTTAGGCGTTAAGTTTTGCTTTAAAAGATGTGAAAAATGGACTACTTTGTCGCTATATGTCAAAAGTTACCAAGAAAAGTTATTAGTATTCCAATTTTACATATACAGGGTGGGGCATTAGTAACGCCTCGGTCTCTAGAAGGCTAACCACTCAATTTTTCATTCACTATCGATTGGTATTCAATTAAAATAGATACAGAGTGGTCAAAAATCTCAATTCTGAACCACCCAGTATTTGTTTTAATCGAATATCAATTAATAGTGGATAAAAAGTTGAGATATAGGGGGGCATGTAACAAACCGTTTTGACCAATTATGAATAGTTTCGACACAAATAATTCTTCTTATTACTGCTAGACCCCAAGTATGATGGGTCGTTGAAATCAGCTCATCAGGGAGAATCTCAAAATGAAATAATATATAGGGTGTTCAATTAAAAAAAGTATAACTTTAGTGTTTTGCAGTTTTTGGGGACACCCTGTATGTTTTGAAATAATTTCAAATGGTAGCCTATGTTGACATGCAACTTCCTAGAGAGGAAGAATTCCAAGAAGATGAGTATGGTTAGCCTTCTAGAGACCGAGGCGTTACTGGTGCCCCACCCTGTATGTGTCTCCAATTTGAACGTTCTATAACAACTTCTCGTTTTTGAAATTTTTCCAATTTCTGCGAAATGTGTGGTATTGAAAAAAATAACACCGAAAAAACGATTTCATTCTATTAGAGCTTTATCATGCTATTCACTATCAATCACTAATTATTATCGACAGAAATATAATCTTCTTCAGAAGATAATAATCCACGCTCCAAATATCTGTTATGTTCGATGCAAAGTTGATATATCGTCTATCATTCAGGAGCGAAATTTATTTGAATTAATTTTTTCATCCAGCAAAATATCATCAAACGACTTTAAGGATGTTACCAAAGTTTAGGACAGTTTTGTCGAAGTTACAAATGGAAGAAATCGAAAAATATCAAGAACTAAGACTACTAATAAAACTTGCAATAGAATGTTCAAATGTGAGAAAAAATTGGAATCGAAACAACTTCTCTTTGTAAACTTTTCTAAAATTCGAGCAAATAATAAGCCTATTTTCAGGGATTAATTTGAACACCTGTAACTTCTGACATGTAGCGAAAGTCACGTGACTCCGACCGAGTAGACCATTTTTCATTTTTTTTAGCAAAACTCAACGCTCATTTCGAATTTCAAAATGAATGATTAATAAAAGTTTTCCCAAATATGATGCCAACTTCATGAATGACACAGTATATGTTCACAAAACCTTATAAAGCAGCAAGCAGTGCGTCTGTCAGTCATTGTTCAAAATGTAAAAATAATGAAAACATTTTTGATCCAACACTCATATTGAACTATTATATCCCTAACAACACAGGGATGTCCTAGGTACGTCCCTTTTTTGTCCCGCGGTACAAGGACATGATTGGGATGTACTGCAGTGGTTGTCCAGTGGACATCCCGCCCGGTACATCCCTAGGTT